AAGAAAAAAAAAAGTAATAATAATCGCTTGCCCCCCCCCTCCCCTTTAAAAAATGGTTTCGAACGCGGCCTCTTACTATACTATACTATACATTACTATACTTTACTATACTATACTTTACTATACTATACTTTACTATACTATACTTTACTATACTTTACTGTGCTTTACTATACTATACTTTACTATACTATACTATACTTTACTATACTATACTTTACTATACTTTACTATACTTTACTATACTATACTATACTTTACTATACTATACTATACATTACTATACTTTACTATACTATACTTTACTATACTATACTACACTTTACTATACTTTACTATACTTTACTGTGCTTTACTATACTATACTTTACTATACTATACTTTACTATACTATACTTTACGATACTTTACTATACTATACTTTACTATACTATACTATACTTTACTATACTTTACTATACTATACTATACTTTACTATACTTTACTATACTTTACTATACTATACTTTACTATACTATACTATACTATACATTACTATACTTTACTATACTTTACTATACTATACTATGCTATACTTTACTATACTATACTATACTTTACTATACTTTGCTATACTATACTGTACTATACTTTACTATGCTTTACTATACTTTGCTATACTATACTTTACTATAATTTACTATACTTTACTATGCTTTGGTATACTTTAGTATACTTTGCTATACTTTACTATACTTTACTATACTATACTCTATACTACACTCTATACTATACTCTATACTATACACCATACTACACACCATACTATAGACCATACTATACACTATATACTATACACTATATACTATACACTATATACTATACACTATACTGTACACTATACTGGACACTATACTACACACTATACTATACACTATACTATACTATACTACCCTATTTGCAAGTTGTTGTAAACATAATCCATTTGCGGACAAACCCGTGTTTGACGACATTTGTTAATTTGGTGGATGGTGAAGGGTTTTGAACTATTTTGAACATCAAGGGCATTCACATTCCCATTGGTTCTTCAGGTTACCACAGGTTTTTTGCGGAAGCAGCATCGCTCCAGGCGGAGAGTGAAATGGAAGGTCCGCAGAACGGCTTGGAGGACAGGGTGAGTTGAAGCGGCTTGGACTTCGAGCCTCGAAGTCCAAAGGCCACACTTAGCACAGACTTGACAGACTGATCTCTGCAACAATCTGTAACATCAGGTAACATCATGTACTGTAACATCATGTAACATTGGGTCAGAATCTAACATCCATGTCATACCCATGTCATACCCATGTAGTTTTTCAGCGGCGTTTAGGAGACTTTGAAAAAGATGGCAGCGCCCAGTGTAGGAAAGCATGCCGCCAAGTTGAAGAAGGCGGGGCAGGACACGATCTGTGGGAGGACACCTGGCACAGTGGGAAATCTGGCACTACATCATCTACATCGGCCCCTCGGTTCACCATCATAAACTCTGATTTCCAACATAGGTTTGGGTACCCCAAATATCCCATCAATTTCACATTCAATTGACTGGGGAATCCAGAAATCCAACATGTTTGAAGCCAACTTTTCGGAAACGAAACCGAAAGGGGTTTAGAGCATCGTGGTACCCGGCTGCAGGTGTGGCCGGAATGGCGCAAGATGGCTTCGGCGCCTGCCGTGGGTCTGGTCTACAGAGAATGTTTGCTGCAACTTGGCCGAATGTTTGGAATGTTTGGAATGTTTGGAAGCTATGTTTGTCTAAAGTTGGGGAATGCCCAGGGAAAATGATGACCAACCTAGCTATGTTGCAGCTGCGACATGGCCGGATGGGTAGGGGAAGAGATGCTGACAGATTGGAGAGGTGGTGGAAATGAGAAAGAGATATATAGAAAGAGTGAGTAAGTATATTTTATTTGGGGAGACTATTGTTTTGAGTTGATTGTCAGGAATTTGATATTGGTTGCAGCCTGAGTCTGTACCCACACCTGAAAGATGGCCGTTGATTGGGGGTTAACCATCATTTTATTTCAGGATTATCACTTCATGGATGGTGCAACTCCCAATTATCCATCATTATTTCTCGGAATTCCCCGAGTTGGCCACTGGGTACCGGAGGCTCAGTTTCTTGCATGCGGCTTGCGCGCTAGCTCAACTGAGCTCCAAACCTGTGTATAGCCTGTGGGTCATGCCACCCCTTCGCACCTCGGCTCTTTTTTGTGGGGGTGGTGCCCTGTGGTGCAGGACATTGGGAGAGCACACATGGAGACCTTCTTGTGTTTTGGTTTCAAACACGTCAGTAGCCACCTTTCAAACACTCAAAATGCCCATAGTGAGGTTTCCCTGAAGAGTCTTTTGCTGAGGGTACTCTTTTGGTTGATGGTACCTTTGGCTTTGTTTCAAAATGAACTTGTACGTTGGTTCTCGGCAGGGGAAGGCCTTGTCTTGGCCGTTGTGCTCTTCGGCACCAAGCATCCGTTGGCGCTGAAGCTCATCAATGCATGTCGCAGGTGGAGGGTCAAGACCTGTCATACCGTATGAATTAAGGCATGAACATCCGGCTATACCACTGTCATCCGGCTATTTTGGTGTGGCACTTTCAGTGGAGTCTTGATCACCGAGATGTGCGCTTGGATGATGCTAGAAAGAATGATGGAAACACACCGCAAACTCTGCAGTGTGGATCTGTCATGCCCGTGTGCCTTGAAGTATGTACTGGCGACCCAAATGAGTAACCGACAAAATTAGCTAAATACTAAAGTAGTAGTAGTAGAGAGTGGACTTGGGATGTTCAAATTTATGTTAGAATCTTCACAGCCGATAGGGGACCACCCACTTTGGCCATGGCCATTGCGAGTAGTAAGTAATTTTGTCCGCCACTCAAATCACAACAGAATCCAATACATCCAATACACACCCAGACATCACCCTGATGATGGATGATAATTGAAGCCGCATTTTTGGGTTCCAAAATGATTTCCAAAATGATATTATGCAGATTCACAAGAAACTCATATAGTGAAGTGCTCATACAGTGCCCGGTTGAGGTTGCCATCCCCAGTGCTGACAGGTTACATCGGCCTCCGGAACCCGAATCAGCCGTGAGACGACCTCCCTTGTCCAGAAGGCCGAAATCTCCAGATGTGTTTTGCACACCATGAGTAACTTGTAATGTGTGCTTTTAGAGTCTGCAGATATTGCTACATTATCCACTACTAATATCACTTATTATACTATTCTTCTTACTATTTCTGTACTATTTTCATGATTAGTATCAGTAGTATCATGAGTATCATTGGTATCACTAGATATCATTGATATATATATATATGTATATATATATATATTGATATCATCATCATCATCATCATCATCATCATCATCATCATCATCATCATCATCATCATTTTCTTAACCGTTGCAGTGCAGGTGTCACTTCGATGAGGCGAAGCCCAAAGCCGCGCCAAAGTCGAAAGCGACGTTCCGCCCAAAGGTGGCGCCACGCAGCTCCTCGGCTGACAAATGGACCACAACTCACCGTATCTGGTATAAGTTGTATAAGTGTTGAAAATTTTTCAAATGTGAACATTGGTCAACGATATTCTACAGTATTATATATATATACATACACATATTCTATGATAGATTATAGCACAATCATGAGCCATTTCCACTCAAGAACGGATAGTCACAATTCTGGTCGGGCTCAACTTTGTTTTTTTTTGGAACATTTCCAGCACCGGTGAACCCCAAAGTATCCCGAAGTTTCCAGGACAGGATCCTCGAAAGCGGCCGGCCGTGCCACCAGCGTGGAACGCGGGGCCTGGGGTGAAACCCCCCGGTGGCCGACTCCCAGGCAGCTGGGGACGTTTCATGGGTGATTTAAAAAGGAATTCCTTTGTGCAAAAAATGGCATGGCTCTCATGGCTGGCTTCCTGTGAGGTGCACTGCCGTTGTTCTGGGTCCATTCTGAGTCATCATGTGGCAGCGAGTCAGTTTGATTATGTTGATATTTTTCTGTGTTTCCTAGGTATGTAGTGGCTTCTAAGCCAAACATTCCATGATGCGAATACTGTGAACCATGTATGGGTTGAGTAAGCTTGACACACACAAAGGAGGAGTCGTTTTTATGATCACCATGCAACGGAAGAATCTTGACCAGAAATCCACCCCCAAAATGGGGCTAGACATATCTTCCAATCATCCGACATATTTCTAAAACAAATGCACGTCACATATTGTCACATATCCCAAACCTAACTCTACATAACTCTCCCACATCCCAAAATTCTGGGCACCTGCAGGCCGCAGACACGACCTCAAAGAGCTTCGCGAGCTTCGCGAACGCGGCAGAGCTCACGTTTGTGCCTCAGGTCTGATGGAGCCTTCCATTGCAACGACATGAGTTGATCTGGTGTCGATCCTTTCAATACCCTTCCATACCATTTTGACACCATTTTAAGATATTTTAAGATCCTACAATTTTATACATATACATACTATACTGTTAGTATCTGTTAGTCATTATTATGATGCATCGCATTGCATCACATAGTCCACGCGGAGTCGAAGCTGATCCATGTACTCTGAGGCCGAGGACGTACCGGACAACGCTTCGGTGCGGTCCTTCGCATCAGATCCAGGCGCGGGAGAATTCATGGTGACACGGAGAAGAAGGTTTGATCCGAAGGTAGGATTGATTTGAATCATATTTGGAGACCAAGTTGGTAGGATTTGGTGATAAATTTGATGGATTATGTCTTAGTTTGGTTGGATTCTGTGGTGCGTTTGATGGATGAATTTGGTCATTCTGGGGGATCGGTTTGGAGAAATTCCAAATCTTAAGTACTTGAAACAATTTGGCAATTGGACCTGCTTCGATCATGCGTTTCTTGCATGGTTTCCAGAACTGCAGAGTTTTCCTATACACCCCCGAGTAGGCACTAATAGCATAGACTGGAGATGAGCAAATCGTCAGTGGCATTTTCATTTTGGCTCGGACCTGCCGTTGATCAGCTCCCAAAGAGACCCCTCAAAATCTGAAGTTCCGTAGGATGCTGTGGGATGCTGTGGGATGCTGTGGGATGCTGTGGGATGCTGTGGGATAGAGAATATTGCGGGTGGAATCGCGGCGCTGTGCGGCGCACAGGTCATCAATACCCGGAAAGGCGGACTGCCACTGTTTGAGTTGGGTTAGGTTCGATCAAGATTCTGAAACTAGCCGTAGGTTTCGCTCAACCTCTCTGGACCTCAGGTGGAAGAGATGGTTTCCTACTTCTCATTCTTTGTCCTTTGGGCATCTTGGGGAATGGGAAACTAAGCCACTGGACATTTGGCAGATCTTTCCTGCTGGATCCACAAGGGTTTGTCGCGAGGCGAATTGACCCAGTCCGCCAGACATATTGGAAGTCCCCGGAACGACAGCGGCAGCTGCAATTTCTGCACCGCCAGGTGCAGGGACAGTGTGGGGGTTTCCTAAAATAGGGATAGCCATGCATAGCCCAAATAATCAAACATTAGATCATTTTAGTATTGAGACCCAAGCTTTTGGGGGTATCTTAAGAAAATTCCGTGTAGAGAAAGGATGAGAAAGGTATTGGGGGGTGATGCCGGTGATGCCTTGAATATCCTTAAATCGTCTTGAAATGTTTTGAAGTGATTCCTTGAATCATTTTGTTGCTTGGAATTGCTATCACCTTTTTGGGGCATCCATTTTCTCCATGGAGATCTCCAAAGACTGCTCGGAACAGCATCATATTCTCTCAATACCAATCACCCAACCGTCGACCGTTGGTTTTGTGCCCCTGACACGCCGTCAATCGCCGTCAGGCCGTTGCAGAATTGCGACGGGAGAGGCATGACGGCGTGGCCGGGCTTCCTGGTCACCCAAGAAATGGGCACCACCATCGGGTAGCGTAAGTGACTGCGAGAAAAGGCACCCCAAATTGCAATATGAAACTTGACGAAACTGACCTTGCAGTATGGAACCAAATATGGGAACCAAATGTGGTACTTGCATAAAACTTGTCCTTTTTGCATCCATGTGGAACTTATATCCTTTTGCTACCCCATTGCGGTCACAGACGCCGAGGTCGCATCCTCCAGGCTCCGAGTTTGCCTAGTTCTGGCAGATCAATTTTCCGCGTAATTCAGCGTTTTTTCTGACATCTTTGGTAGTTTATGCCTACGGCGCCATTAACGACCCCTGCGTTTTTGCCATTTTTGCTGATTGGAGGCAAGTTGCTCTTGAAATTGATGCATGCAGAACTGATGTCACGTCACTGGGTTGGGGTGGGGTGGGGATGTTAACGTTCATGTTAACTTGCGTCACATGCACAACTGACGTCACGTCACTGGGTTGGGGTGGGGTGGGGATGTTAACGTTCATGTTAACTTGCGTCACATGCACAACTGACGTCACGTCACTGGGTTGGGGTGGGGTGGGGATGTTAACGTTCATGTTAACTTGCGTCACATGCACAACTGACGTCACGTCACTGGGTTGGGGTGGGGTGGGGATGTTAACGTTCATGTTAACTTGCGTCACATGCACAACTGACGTCATGTCACTGGGTTGGGGTGGGGTGGGGATGTTAACGTTCATGTTAACTTGCGTCACATGCACAACTGACGTCACGTCACTGGGTTGGGGTGGGGTGGGGATGTTAACGTTCATGTGGAAGGAACTGGGAAAGCTGGCCAAGAAGAGTCGACGCTGAAGACCTTGCAAGGTAAGTTGAAAAAGAAGTGTTGCTCAATGACTGGTGGTCAGATGTAACTAATTTTCTCCAACAAAACAAAAAAAAACAATAATTCGTTTCAGGGGTATTGAAAATCGATGAACGTTTCACACAAAACGCACTTTTTGTAGTAGGCCCCAAAGTAACTACGATTTGACATTTTTATCACGTTTTTACAAAACATTGCAAATACCATGATTTGGTGAACAAGCATCATGAAAAATCAATGAATTACCCCGGGTCGCTAACCGCGCCGTAGCCTAGTTTATGGCATTTTTTTTTCGGTGAACGTGAGCTAGTTGAGCTATGCTGAGCTTGTTTCCCAGGGAAGTCTTCGACCAGATCGGGTAACATGAAGTCATCAGGTCATATCAGGCATGTGCGACCTGATGCGACCTGTCAGGATATCACTGGAGCGACCGAGACCCGCAAGCTGCAAGGGACGGGTGCAAGGTGAGCGGACGTGGGAAAGGAATGGAAAGGAGAGGTTGCCTGGTTTCATACGCCATGTGTGCCGTCAAAAGCTGGACTACCTAGACTATGCCAGATTGGAAGATGGTCATCAGTCCATTTACTGTAACAGGGACTTTTGTACCCAATTCACCTGGGACCTTTCGACCGGCAGATTAATTGGGATACATTAGGACTTGCAACACCTGATCATAATTCATCATAGTTCATCCAACATTCAGCATTTGGAGACTGAAGAATGGTTGGATCAGTCGGTGAGCAGTGGCCACATTGGTTATCTATTGATGGGGATTGTGGCGGATTATCTTATCGCAAGTTGGATGGTTTAGCGAACTATGTTTTCAGGGATTGGTTGCTACGTACTGCGTCAGTTCTCTTCCCATTTACTGCTTGTATTTCCATCAATCAACTCTTACAATTTACTGCTTGATTATCAGGTTGAGCTCACCATTTTATTGCTTGAACCATGATTCTGTTTGAATCTCTTTGAAAATTTTCAAGGAATCATCCTCTCATTTGCTTCAATTTTTGCCGGTGGCACAGGTCGCCAGACTCCTTTGTCGACACCGCGAGGTCCGCCTGTCATTCGACCATTTGACATTCCAACATGATAAAGTTTGGTTTAATCAAATCACTAAAGCCGACTAAAGCCGACTAAAGCCGACTAAAGCCGACTAAAGCCGACTAAAGCCGACTAAAGCGTTCAAACGATCACCAGAATCACCGGAAACTTAAAGGCTTCGGGATGATCCAGTCGCCCATTTCGATTGTTTCAACTCGTTTCGACTCGTTTCGACTCGTTTCGACTCGGACTGAAGGACCCAAGAAGTTGAGGCCGCATTGCACTTGGAGATTGTACTGTAGGATCTGTAGCATGGTGGAGATTGATATAGATTGATGGAGATGGTCTGAGATGGTAGATGTTTCATGTCACTTGGGGCACAGGAAACGTCTTGCGGGAGACTCTGTGGCAAAAAGCTGCACGGCATCGGCATCATAGGCGCCAATGGGTCTTCGATTGGGTCAGATCACTCACGACATTATTCATGAGGGTCAAAAGCACGACATCGCATGTGGCTTAGTTTGAAACTGAGTTTGAACTAATGGTGGTCATAGATTTGTTTGGCTTCTCAGTTTCTTTGACCTCTTGGTGCGAAACAGCTTGGTGCGAAACAGCTTGGTTGCAGGCATCGACACCTCTCCGTTCAGCCCTAAGTGCTGTTGATGCGAAAAGGCGCTAAGGCGTTATTGATAGATTCGTGAGGTAGGCTTCGGAGTGACTCAAAACTAGGACTGCAGATTCACCTTTCGGACCATTGCCTTCCGTTGAGAAACTCAGAAGTGTTCTGTTCCGGGCGTTTCCTGGCAACTTTGTCCAACAGTTTGTGGCTCACACATTGAGGGGTTCAACGGCTTGAGGCTGTCCCCACCCAACGACGGTGTGGCGGTAGCTTTGGATCGTTGAGCCTGACTCTCAGAATGCAGCTGGGACTCGCTGCTTTGCTCATTGATCCTTTTGAATCCTTTTGGTAATTTTTGATCTTTCATTTCGACATTGATGCAATGATCGCAATGCCAATTGACGCGATGTGGGAATGTTGAGCCATCTTGACAGGGCCCATAACGTGTTTCATTTGACCCACAAGAGGCCCAGGCGCTAACCAGACCGTCCGTGGCAGGTGCTTCTTTCTGCTTCCCGGATGCAGTCCATTCTGTACATTCGGGGCATTCAGGGCGTTCAGGACAATCTGCCGAACTCTGAAGCGACTAATGATATCTGTAAATCCACACACCTGTCTGACCTATCTGCAATATTCTGCAATATGTTGTGGGGTTCAGGTACACACGCTTAGAATTTTGAAAATCAAACCAATCTTCGTCATTTTCTTGAAGGTGAAACAAAGGGTCAAAATGACTCAAATCTCAAACAGCTGAGTTGACCGGAATGCCGCGGAATTTGCACGTGACAAACTCCTGCACAGAGCTCTGCAAGAAGCAAGAGCCTCTTCTGCGAAGCGCGCAGAAGCTGTGTATGCAAAATTATGCGAATATGTCTCGGTTCATTCGATCACAATGATCCACAATGATGTGATAATCAGGTTCACGACATGAGCAATTCGTTTGGACAGACTTCCTTGGGCCGAGAATGTTTGTGTGATCAGGCGCCTGGTCCAAAATTTCCTCAAGACCTGTTGCATCGCAAGAACTTAAAACTGAACCCATGTCAATATCATAATATCTGGAAAATTCTGGAAATCCGTTTCATTGACATTGGCTGTGCTTGAACACCCACCCTGAGCGCGCTCATGGAATCTGCAACCATTGCTAGAATCATTTCAGCCTGGATGTTGGGTGAAGGGGATCAAGGAAGTTCTTGACTGTATTGCCTTGGGATTGCAGCTGGCTCAAGAGTGACACAACTCAGCTGCAGCGTGTTGCCAGTTGGGACTTTTGTGTTTCAGGCGCTACCTACACTTATCTCCAGCTGCGATGTTTGGGGCGTGTGATCTTGAGGGTGCTCTTTGGACAAGGGATCGCGTTGTCACGGGTTGTCTAAGTACATTGAATCAACATATTCAACATGTTGGAGTCATCAGTTGTACCTTCCACATTCTTTCACATCCTTTCACATCCTTTCACATCCTTTCACATCTTTTATCTCACTGGTTCACTGGGTTCATGCATTTTTTCTAGCATCCTGGTATCCCCGCCCTGCTGGGCTTCTAGATCTTTGGTTTTCAGCAGTGTCAGTCAGGCACATCAATGTGGAAAGTCAAAGCTGGTGCCAGTTGGCGTTGACCAGACGATTTTTGCATGTCCAGCATCGACCAACTCTGCAATTACCCCAATCTTGAGTCAGCATTACAGTAATCCATATGAATCCTGACAGGCGAAGCCGGCCTCTGTGAGAGGAGGTCAGATGTGGGGGGAGGCCAAAGGTTGGCGGATGCCATCCAGGAATGGGGATATGAGGTG